CCTTTTAACTCAGGGGAAAACACCTGCTGAGGTTCCATGACATTGCCCACAGATCCAACCTACAGAAGTAGGAGGCTACAAATCAAAATTCTGCCAGACAGAGGGCGACTATCAAAACCAATTTTCAAGCACCTATATGAACACCATGTTTTTCACAGGTTCTGCATATGTGAATGTCAGTGACATCAGAAATTGCTGCAAATTTCTAGCACCTTTGAAAACTGGGCACCTGAAGTGTCTAAATATGAATTTAGGCATAGCCATTAGGAAATGAAGCTTGAAAAAACTGGCCTATATTTTTACTGATTAGGGGCTACAAGCAAGACTCTGCAGTTCTTTCAGCAGCGATGAGGAAGTGTGTGCTGGCTGCTTAGCTACTTCTATTCCTTGGTTTCAGGCATTGTCTGAAAAGCTCTTATATTTCAAATCTGTTCTGCATCTCAGTACATGCGTTACCAACAAGTTTCCCAATCTGGTAACTTCTCTGTGGATACAATGTCTTGGTGAAGTTTAGACACTCCTGTAGTAAGAAATATCGTAGACTATTACTGCATGATTAACATTTTAATTTTATAATGCTCAGCAACATAATATATTCATACTTAATTTTTTCATTCCCACCCACTTCTGCTTTACTCTTTATCCACCCAAAGCCATCCAATAATGCAATCCTCAGGCACAGTCACCATGGGTTTACAAAGGGAAAGTCCTGTTTAACTAATGTGATATCCTTCTATGATAAGGTTACCGGCCTCGTGGATGAAGGGAAGGCAGTGAATGTAGTTTTTCTGGATTTTGGTAAGGCTTTTGATACTGTCCCTCACAGCATCCTTCTGGACAATTCATCCAACTGTGGGATGAGCAGGTTCACAGTGTGCTGGGTGAAGAACTGGCTGAAGGGCACAGCTCAAAGGGTTGCAGTGAATGGGGCTACGTCTGGCTGGTGACCGGTCACCAACTGTGTTCCTCAGGGTTAAATTCTAGGGCCAGTCCTGTTCAGCATATTTATCAATGATCTGAATGCAGGAGTTGAATGCACCATTAGCAGGTTTGCTGATGACACCAAACTGGGAGGTGCTGTTGAGTCTTTTGAGGGATGAGAAGCCTTGCAGAGGGACCTAGATAGATTGGAGCATTGGGCTATGATTAATGGGATGAAATTCAACAAGTCCAAATGCCGGATTTGGCACCTAGGACGGAGTAATGGCAGGCACAAGTATAAATTGGGAGAGGAGTGGCTGGAGAGTAGCCCTGCGGAAAGGGATGTGGGGGTGCTGGTCAACAGCAGGCTCAGTGTGTGTCAGCAGTGTGCCCTGGCAGCCAAGGGGGCAAACCGCATCCCGGGGTGCATCAAACACAGCATAGCCAGCTGGTCCAAAGAGGCGATCATCCCGCTGTAATCAGCACTGGTGTGCCTCACCTGGAGTACTGTGGGCAGTTCTGGGCCCCACAATTTAAGAAGGATGCTCAGGTCCTTGAATGCGTCCAGAGGAGGGCAACAAAGCCGGTGAAAGGCCTGGAAGGAATGTCCTGTGAGGAGCAGCTGAGGACCCCAAGTTTGTCTAGTTTGGAGAAAAGGAGGCTGAGGGGCAACCTCATTGCTCTCCACAGCTTCCTGAGGGGGGGAAGTGGAAGGGAGGTGCTGATCTCTTCTCCCTGGTATCCAGTGACAGGACGTGTGGGAATGGTTCAAAGAGGAGGTTTAGACTGGACATTAGGAAGCATTTCTTTACCAAAAGGGTGGTCAAACACTCAAACAGGCTTTCTGGAGAGGTGTTTGATACCCCAAGCCTGTCAGTGTTTAAGAGGCATTTGGACAGTGCCCTTAATAGCATGCTTTAACTTGGTCAGCCCTGAATGGGTCAGGCCTAGATGATCATTGTAGGTCCCTTCCAACTGAAAGTATTGTATTGTATTGTATTGTATTGTATTCTATTCTATTCTATTCTATTCTATTCTATTCTATTCTATTCTATTCTAACGCTGAATAGAAATTGAATAGCAATTCCAGCTTGCAAGCAATCTGAGGTCTTGTTTTAGAGTATGCTTTACAGAGCATTCAGTAACCCATAGGATATGTGCATATGTAATAGGACGTCAGAAAAATAACTTTTAAATGTTTGACTGGCAATTACTCAGATAATTCTTCAAATAATCACTTGTGGTTTTATTAGCTGAGAATAACACTAGAGTGGTTAAGGGAAGTTCTTAAGGCTACATTTTTTTATAATATGTAAAAGTTTTAGTGACCTCTATTAATCATCAGGCAAAGAATTGAGTAATCCAGAGAAGGCGGCACTAATGGGAGTGGAGCCATCAGGATGTGTCTCAGTCATTGATGGATTGATGGGCAGGTCAGGCTGGGAGGATTCTGCAATGTGCTATGAAAACTTATATCATTCTTCTTAGCCTTTGTGAAAGATAATTAAACATTTAAATTACATAGCTATATCTTAAAAACTTCCCAAACTTCCCTGTGTCACTTTATTGCAAATAAGCCTGCTAAATCCCATGTTTGTTTCTCCTACCAAATACAAATATTACGTTCCATGAAAAGAATATGGATGCTGCACAAGGCCTGGAACTCATATACCAGGGACTAAAAATACAGTAAGGAATAAAAAATTTCACTTTGGGACTTGCTATAAATTAGAATGTTTCAGTTCACAAAAATATTTAACCAATATTTTTCTTAAGGATTTAGACAATCTGTGTGTCATATTGCACAAAATCCAGTGTAACTTGCCATTTAAATAAAAGGTGAATCACTTTTGGGAGATGAAAACAGCTTGTGGAACAAACTATAAACACCCGCAATTTATTTCAGTACGATTTTTGCAGATATTTGACATAAAATTTGCCTTCTTTTCAAAGAATATGTTGATTAGGTTATTATTGTCTGTGTACATATGAAAAGAAAAAGTATCCTCTTAAAAAAAATAGTTTACTAACAAATTTTCAGCATACTGCCACAGTTCCTGCTACCATCAGTTGTGTAACTTATTCCTCATGTATTCTGCTCAGAACAGAACTCTCATACTAAAATATCAGTCATTTTCTACCCTTCCCTGCATGATGTTTGAGTGCTTAGTGCAAAACATATCACTGTTATAGATGGGGAAGGCAAGTTTCATCTGGAAAAACAATTCACAAAGATATTAGAGCATTATTCATCTCATTTAACTCTGCTAATCAGATGCTCCTCTTGGAGTCAAAATATTTTCCAGCTTCAGAAAACAAACAGCTCACTGAATACCTCTCTGCCCTACTGCTCTTATCTTGATTGAGTCAATGCAATGTTTATTGTATCCAATTTATTTTTTAGCTTTTTCTTTTATTACTAATATAATTTCTACCATTACAACAATTACACTATCTCACAAGCTTCCTAATATTTATCATTTTTTTGCCGTTAATGTGCCCTGAATTCCATTTTGGCCTACAGTATTATTATAATATTCCAATTCAACACAGAGAGAAATGAAACCTAAAGCTTTATTTCCAAAGATGGAGGACTGAAG